AACCTTCAAGCCATTAAATTGAAAAACCCTTCTCTGTGCTTGTATCTGTTTATACAAGGCCGCATCCTTGGGAGTTTCCCAATTATGAACCGCGTACAGATCAAGCTGCTGCCACAGACCAGAAAAAGTATGAAAAAATTCAGTAACACAAAAGCATCCTGCTTTAAATTCGGTGCCTTACTCTCAATATCGAACAACTCAGATGTGTTGTCTGTACTGGAATATGTTTCCCGAACAGCTTTCCATATATCTGTAGCGGTTTAGAGAAGAAAATCAGTACCAATGTCATGAGACATGGTGTTAACCAACCAAGACATCTCCCGGCCATTCTCACGTACCCACTTATAAAAAAATAGGTCTGTTGAAGAAGGTTTCAGAATCTCCCCGGAGATATAGTCAAGTTTCCCCCGTCCAGTAAAGAAAATCTTGACTGATTAAGACCACAGAAGGTAGTTGTGGCCGACAAAACGATGGCAGATTACTGTTGCGCTAGAGAACTCTGGGAAATCATCGACAGTTTGAAGGGAATCTGCCGATTAGTAAGCATCAGAAGATTCAGAAGGGAAAACCATCGATCCTGATGGAGAGATCGATCTATAGACTGATACCATGTGGAAACTCACGAGAATAGTGAGTGTTTTTCTATATCTTGTTGATAAAATACATAATCTATTTAAAGATTTAGAGTACAAGAGTTTAACGACTACTAGGAGTTATTTAAATAAATAAACCTCATCTTCTGTTATCAAGAGATAAGATTTTATCTCTATCACTAATTTTAAATAAACTCTAATATTTACAATAGTAACAACTCACAGACCAAGTAGCATACTCCTTTTTTAGGATTGAAACTCACATCTAGGAAGTTCATAGACACATTAGGTTTGGCTAGTTTGCTTCACAAAATTGCTAAAACTTTATGAGATTTTCCTCCATAAATTCATATGATTGATGTGCTTCTGCTCAATGCTCTTAATCGTTTACTTATTTGAGAACTTCAAAACCAAGATAACAAATTACCTAAACTGCTTTAAGAAAACGCCTATAAGTAGAAGGTTTGCTTAAGCTTGAAAGTTGAAATAGTGTTTGTGTTGCCTAATATCCATTGTATTTTTATGAATATTTTAATTTGACCATAAGATGACAAAGATAACATATAACATAATTGTTGATTAAAGTGATAATATGCAGTTGGGAAACTTTTCAACCAGTTGGTAATCTTCTCACTCAGCCACTGACTGCATGGAACCAAACCGTTGAGTACCGTGCTCTTGCTTATCAGCATTATATTGTCATCTGTACATTGCGCCCCCAGTTTAGATACCTTGGCGATGTTGCAATTGCTTATGCCACTGGAGCAGTTTGGCAAAGGAGACAATTGTTTGTGGCTACACCAACTACAATCGAGTAAGATATAGTTACTTTCAGAATCTTTCCTTCTTTAAGCAATATAATGAAATCGATGCCCATTAAAGCATTTATGTCACTTAAGGCATCAAAAGCTATTCAGAAGGCTCCATTTCATTCAGAAGGCTCCATTTCTTGCTGTCTGATGCCCGTAATCCTTGTATTCCCCGGTTTCTGGAATGCTGGACAGGCAGAGTAGTAGTTCTGCAGTGCATATCTAATATGCTGCATTTTCAGATGTGTTTTTGTGGATGCTGGAGTTGCACCTATTGACATAGAAACAAGAAAGAGAAAAGAAGAGATGAAACTAAAAGAGGCACAAGCAAGAGCAGTCGCGGCTCATGGAGATTTGGCTCTAATCTCTGTAGACGGTCCCCAAACTGCTAAAGATGAAAAAATAATGTTGAGACTACCCATGTTACAGGTCAGAATTCTTATATAACTTGTTTATAAATTTTCTTTTGGATGTCATTAGTGTAGGGTGTGCTTTGTGCACTTCCTGTCAATGTTGTTGAGGCATATGCCGAGGCACTACGGCACAACATAAACAAGCAAAGTGGCTTTTCCCCTTCAAACAAGGCAACTTTAATCAGGCAATGCGCCTAGGTGAATTCTTTCAAGGCAAAAGGTGCGGAGAAGTAAGCTTGAATTAAATTGTCCTTTGGTTTCTTTATTTCTTCTATTAAAAAATTATTTATAGCTATTATTTTTTGCAAAAGAAAATCTCTATCGAAGTAAATACAAAATTAAATACTGTTATTGACGTGCAACTTTTAGATGAAAATGGAAGTGAAGAACATAATGCACTCTAATAGCTTGCACTCAGTTGGCTTCTTTTTGCTGTAATTACTTCTCTTATGGGACCAAGATAGTGGATGATTCAGTGTGGTATGCATTATCATATACAATTTGATTAAGGTTCTCTATCTTGTATCAACATGTTTACTTGTCAGGTGGTTCGATTAGCTTCTTTTCAGCATGCTCCTTCTGTGCCATCTTTCTTGTCGTCTCCAAAACAACTTAACGTTTTGGGGGATGTCATAGAAGAAAAAAAGGTTAATGAGATAGCTGTTGGTGGTGGAGGGGTCACAGTAGCAGTTACTCGTTTTCCAACTGAGCAAAAGCGACCAGTCGGACCATTAATTGTGGTTGGTGTCAGAGATGGAGTTCTTTGGCTCATTGATAGGTAGCATGTTTTGCTACTGTGAGATATGCAATGTCTTGCTAAATAATTAATCGCTCTACTATTTCTTTATAGGTACATGACTGTGCATGCCTTGTCCCTAAGTCATCCAGGCATTCGTTGTCGGTGCCTCGCTGCTTATGGAGATGCCGTTAGCACAGTGAAATGGTATACATAATAAAAAAAAAGAATTCTTTTCTATTCAAATCATAAATTTTGTGCAATCTCATTATTTTCCTTTGCAGGGCAATTCGGCTTGCCAGGGAACATCATGATGATTTAGCTCAATTTTTGCTAGGAATGGGCTACGCCACTAAAGCACTTCATTTACCTGGCATATCTAAGAGGTTTGCCTTACCAGTTTTGTGCTCGGTTTCTTTTATGGTTATGGTGCTATTTTTTCACAATATTTACAATGCTAAGATTTCTCGCTCTCTTACACATACACACATGCCTTTTCATTCTTGATTGCTTTCATATTCGCTACCTTTTGCGTGTGGCTGGCTATCTATAAATTAACCTGCAACAGTCCCGATGTCTGATCAAGAAAGTAGGGAGGGAAGTCGATGCTCGAACAACTATAACTGTTCTAGTTTACATGGATGAATCACTCTTGATAAGTATAATACACTGTTGTCCGTTTTTGTGTTGATTACAGTACAGCAAGTACCATATGTTATTCTTACATTGCAGTTTGAGTGTTTGACCGTCCTTTTCTTCAATTTCATTGGTATTCCATGTTTACAGGTTGGAGTTTGATTTAGCCATGAAGAGTAATGATTTGAAAAGAGCTCTTCAGTGTCTTCTTAAAATGAGCAACAACAGGGACATAGGACAGGATAATCCAGGGCTTGATATGAAAGATATCCTTAATTTGACTGCTAAGAAGGAAAACTTGGTTGAGTCTGTTCAAGGAACTGTAAAATTCGCCAAGGAGTTTATGGACCTTATCGATGCAGCCAATGCTACAGCTCAGGTTGACATTGCTCTTGAAGCTCTTAAAAGGTTAGCCAGTGCAGGTTCAGTGAAAGGAGCTTTACCGAGCCATGATTTAAGAGGACTCGCTCTTCGCCTTGCAAATCATGGAGAGTTGACATGCCTTAATGTATGTTGGTGCTATTTTATTGAGAATATTCATTTTACCATATTATTCTGGTGTGATAAAATTATCATATTTGTGCTTGACATTCTTGATTTGATTATCAACTGGTAAAAGAAATTCTGTGATTGCAGGGTTTAGCAAATAACTTGATATCCCTTGGATTGGGTCGGGAAGAGGCATTTGCAGCTGCATTGATGGGAGACAATGGTCATATGGAGAAGGCATGGCAGGATATCGGGATGCTTGCAGAGGCCGTTTTGCATGCACATGTATGACTTGGTTCATATTGACAGTTTGTTGTTCGTCGAAAGAATATTTTCTTGCATTCAAACTGGTTTAAAATTTGTTACAGGCTCGTGGGCGATCAACGTTAAAGAACTTGGTTGAGTCTTGGAACAAAGTGTTACAAAAGGAGGTTGATCGCATTCCAACGGCAACTACAGATGCTACTGCTGTATTTCTGGCCTCTCTTGAAGACCCGAAACTTTCGAGTTTGTCAGAAGCACGAAGAAACCACCTATTGAAATCTTTCCTCCAGGGATGTCGATACTCTCTCCTTCATTGTTATTAAGAAAAGTCTTGCTTCTGACAACACAGACTTCCCAGTCCAACACAGACTTCCCAGTCCAACAAACCATTGGCGATAGAAGGACCACAACCTGGTGGACCGATTGGAGCAACAATAGGCGCAGTACCTCCTAGTACATCAACTGCACCACTAGGCACACCAATAGAACCACCAGTTCTTGGTGCACCGGCTGCTACACCTGGCACACCATTTCTGGTGCACCGGTTGCTACACCAGAAACACCAATAGGAGCAGCACCTGCCGCACCACCTGCTGAGGTACCAGCCGCAACAACAAGCATGCCAATAGGAGCACCATCTCCTGATGCATAAGCTTCAACAAAAGGCATGGCAATTGGATCATCACCTCCTGGTGCAGCAGCTGCCACACCAGACACGATAAGAGGAACACCACTATCCGACACACCAGCTAAAACACCAGGGACGCCATCAAGAGCACCATCTGGAGCGCAAGACACAGTCATAGGAGCACCAACACCTGCTTGACCAGCTACAAAACTAAACATGCCAATAAAAACACCACCTCCCAGTACACTAGCTGCAACACCAGGAACCTCAATAGGAGCTCCACTTCCTGATGCATCAGCTGCAGCATCAGACACGTCAAAAGAAGTACCACCTTCAGCTGCGACACCAACCATGCCAAGAGGAGTACAATCTCTCGATGCATCAAATCCTAACTCAGAAAGCCAATAGGAGCACTACCTCCAGCTGCAACACCAAGCATGCAAACAGAAGCACCACCTTCCACAGCACTAAATACTACACCAGGAAAGCCAATAAGAGCATCATCTCTAGCTGCAATACTAAGCACACAAACTAGCGCACCACCTTCTGATACACCAGATTCTACATCAGGCAAGCCAATAGGAGCACTTCAAACAAGAGCACTAGCTCCCCATGCACTGGATGCTACATTAAGCAATCCAATAGGAGCCCAACATGTCGGTGCACCAGCTGCAAAACAAGATAAGTCAATAGAAGCACCACCTTCTGCTACACCAGATGCATCACCAGGCACGCAAATAGGAACATCACCTCTCAATGCACCAGCTGCAACACCAGGAATGCCTATTGGAGCATCATCTCCCGATGCATCAACTGCAACATCAGGTACACCAATAGGAGCACCATGTCCTGGTGCACCGACTGCAACATCAGGCAAACCTATAGGATCATCACCTCCTGGTGCAACGGCTGCAACATCAGGCAAACCTATAGGATCATCACCTCCTGGTGCAACGGCTGCAACAACAGGTACACCTATAGGCTAAGCGTGTCCTGGTGCACCTGCTGCAACATCAGGTACATCAATCGCAGCACCACCTGTTGATGCATCAACTGCAACACCAGGAACACTAATAGGAGCACCACCACCTATATCAAAAGCAAGTGAACCTGTTTCGGGTGATAAAGTTCCTAATACCACATCCGGGAGAAACCAACATATGATTGCTTCAGTAGAAAGCAATCCAACCACATCTGCCAGCGGGAAACCAACACTAGATGCAGCTATGACGAATAAACTGTTATCAGAGGTATCAACTCTAACACTAGGTAACCAAGAAACAAGTGTTCCAACTACAGTCCCAAAAAAGTGAACCACTTCCTCGAGTCTGTTGAGACTTGCACATAATGAGTAATATACTAATTCATCCGATTCCAAAGAACTTTAATTTGATTTCATCTGTCATATGAACTGCAGTGATCCCGAACCAGATTGAAAAACAATATCATGAACCATTTTTTGTCTAGGCATCTATATGTATATATTTGATTTATCTGGACTTCAGCTTGGCTTGTCCTAAAGTTGTAACTAGAGATTATATTTGATCTTGGTTTAGCTTTTTTTTCACTCGGAAGTTGTCCATATGAGTAGTTTAGTTGGTATTACATATAGGAGAATTGTGTCGTTACCGTGGCCGAGCATTTATCGAACTTAGTATGCCTTGCATGTTTTTGAAATTTTACTCAGAATGCATATCAAGTGTAGAGCATGCAAAATGAGAATGCTATTTTATAGTTGTTTGGCTTTCTTTGTTATGCTTAAATTTACACTTTGTATCCGTCTGGTATGCAACAAATAGTTCAACTGTCCATGAGCATTTACACTTTGTTTTCTTTGTATCCATTATGTATAATCATATTCTTCATGCAATATTTAAAAAAAAAAATCGATTAGAGTTTGTGACTCAAATTTTGAAGATGGTTTCTCAATTGAAGAAATTGCCATGTTTTTCACTGTGATTTTCTCATTCTTTCACGTCTTCCTCTTCTTAATGCATGTTTTTGTTTTGTAATCTTCAAATGGTTTCAAAATAATCATTAAAATTCATTAAACAATTATAAAATGATTTTTAAATATGAAATTATAAAAAGGGTAACAAATACTTTAGTTACTAGTTACCTATGAGGAGTAATCGTCGTTGGTAAGAAGGAGATGGTAGTATTTGATCAAAGAATTTTGGGTGGAGTTTTGAAAGTCGAGCATTAGGGTTGTAAAATAATTTACTTTTTTTAGATGGTAAGTTGTTTTACGGGAGTCAAGAGGTTATTTTACTTTGACCATAAAACATATCCATTAATCACTAAGTTTCCTTCGACCAAACACAAGAAAATTAGGAAAACATTTTCTGTAAATTGTTTTTCTCCAAACAAACAAACAAACCCAAAAACTTATTAAAATATTACAAAATTATCCTTAAACTCATTGAAATTTATTGATATTTTAGCATTGCAAGGGATATTTTATAACTGTTTAAAAATTTTAATGATCATTTTGTAATCTCTAAAAGACTAATGATCATAAAAAGTAATACTATATAATTTGATGGTCTCTAATGTACTTTATCGTTATTTTTGTTAGATAAAAATTATTTTCAGCAACTAAATTTTAATAACATATTAAATAATTTTATATTATTAATTAAAATTTAAAAATTCAACACTTAATTTTTTATAATTAAATTTTAAATTTATCAAAAGAATAATTAAATTAATTTCATTATCATCCCCTTTTTTATATTTTAGTTGCAAAGCCCAAATTTAATAGGTTCGAGGCCCATAAGCCCTGAAATATCCAAAAATATGTTCTTTAATAGCGAAACTATGAACTAGAATAACAGAGACGGCAATGACGGCAGCTCCTGCAGCCACGAGTAGAACAAGAATACATGTGGGAGGTTTGGGGCAGAGCGTCAGCAGCGATGATCTGCGAAAGATATTCTCCGCCGTGGGAACGGTGGAAGGAGTGGACATCGTAAGGACCAAAGGCCGCAGTTTCGCATACGTCGACATACTCCCGTCTTCTTCCAATTCAATCTCCAAGCTTTTTAGCATGGTGATAAATCTTTGTAAACTGTAGTTTTAGGTTACTGATTCAGAAATTTATGATTTTTTTTTTTGCTTTTTTGTGCGATTTATACAGTATAATGGGTGCGCTTGGAAAGGAGGCAAGCTGAAGCTCGAAAAGGCCAAAGAACACTTTCTTGCTCGCCTGAAACGGGAATGGGAGGAGACACAATTTGAAGCTGAAGATGAAGAGGGAAGCCTTCAAGCCAAGCAATCTTCTTCAAATAGCTCCAATGGGAAAAACAAGGTTCATGGTTCCCAAATCAACCAGCTTCAGATCTTCTTTCCTAGATTATCGAAGGTTAGATTTCTTCTTCGTTCAAATTTCAATCTTGTATTGCAAATTGCTTTCAGATATCTAGGGGTGAGCATTCGATGAAGTGAGTGAGTTAAAAAATTTCCATTTAGTTTGATTGTGGAATTTTATGGTCGAGTTTATGAAATTAGAGTTTGGTTATATATATATATATCATACAAAGCTGAGAGGCTCGAACAAACTTGAAAACAATTCACTTATTATTAAAAATTTTGAGTAATCCGAATCTTACGTTATAACTCAAAATTTTTATTTGAAGTTTTTTTGAGTCAAGTCGAAGATTCAATTTTTTTAGTTGAAAGATTCAATTTTTTTTAAGTCTATTCGAGTTTTGCTGACCCATGATTAAAGAACCAGACTGTCAACTCATTTTCGGACAAGAGTGACCCTCTAAATGTATAAAATAATTTATAAAGATTGAACATACTTGATACCCATTTCGGATATATATATATATATTCATATCGAACACTAACGTCCAAATTCGAGTAATATCGGTCTTTGTTTATGTTACTTGGAATTGTTAGCTTAAGCTGAAACAACATACATCATGAGGCTTACATGATATATACTTACTCACCTCCAATCCCGAGTAACAATGATCTTTGTTAGCTTCAGCTGAAACTTTATAAATCATGAATTTACAAGATACCAGTGTTTGGATCGATATCCGTATCGGACGCTCACATTGGTCTTTGTCATATTATTCGGCATTGTTAGCTTCTGGCGAAACCACAGAAATCATGAGAGGCTTGCATGTTGTGCAGGTCAAATCGTTGCCATTTAGTGGGACTGGAAAGCATAGGTACAGTTTCCAACGTGTTCAAACACCCACCCTCCCGATTCATTTTTGTGATTGTGAAGAGCATTCTGGTCGCTTTGACGCTACGAAACCGAAAGACGTTCAACATCATGAAGAAATTAGTGGTGCCATGAATGAGGAAGAGCTTAGTATGATGAGCTCGGTAATGAACAAGCTCTTTGAGAGGGAAAATGTTTCCAACACTAACATATCTTCCATAGCAAAGGAAAGAGATGATGTCATCGAACCAGTCAAGGATTTGCTGTCTGATGATGATGATGATGATATCATAATTAATGTTGTTTCTAATGCAAAAAATCTAACAGCTAGGACCAGGGAGCCGGAAAAAATCTCCACCGAGGTACAATTTCACGTGTATTTATTGCAAAGCTCTTAGTTTTCATGATTTATTATTGTTTTGTTGTCCTTGTAATTAATTTTATCCTCTTGCTGTATTCAACACACAGAAAACTAGATTCGTTGAAAACAAAATTTTGAAGGATGGAGTGATTCCGAATCCAGGCAAATTGCAGAAGAATAATATTTTGCATCCTGAAAGGAAGAGGAAACCTCTACCGAATAAAGACAATAAACATGAAATTGTTTCTGTTTTACCTCTAGTGGGAAGCAATCCACTGTTTGATGAGAGTGAAACGGGTTTTGAGGAGAATGAAACTGATGAAGACGACCTTGTTATTAATGTCGCATCCACTGGAAAGAAAGGGACAGGTTTGTCCGGAAGTATGAAACGTGCTAAGGTATCATCTAAACAGGTTGCCCCCTTTTCCATTTGGTGCAGAGAAGTTGTTTGTTTCTTATATGCTACTAGCATTATGTATCTATCTAGAATCTGGTTCAGGTCCTAATTTGTTCATATTTCTGTGATGACGTATAGAAGTTCAAATCCAGTGAGGCACGAACTTCTGAAGATAGATCAGCCGAGGATGATCACAAAGAGGAAAAGGACCATTTACTTCATAAAAAGAAGATGAAACTGATTTCTTCCCAGGAAAGGAATGGAAATGAAGTTGTCTCTACTGTACCTGCCGAGAAGGGACCCTTTGTAGCCCAATCAAGTACTAGTTTGTGGTCTCAAAAGTCTTCATGGAAGGCACTTGTTGGAGATAAAAGTGATAGTGCTTTCAGTCTCTCCAACATTCTGCAAAATGTCGACACCATTGACGAAGCGCAACATATTTCTGACGGTCCCAAAGTGGACAACTCACTTGATAGCAAGATTGAGAAGTTGTCGGCATCTGAAAACTTGGAAGGCACGTCGAACAAAACGGAAATAGCGAATGTGGTTGCTGAAGCTCAGCCAAACCAACCTAGCACGGGTTCGAATAATGCAGGAAGAGGTTCTTCATGGCTCCACAAGTCTTCTTGGATTCAACTGGTAAGTAATAGGAGCAATTCTTTTAGCATAGCAGAAATTTTGCCAGGCACTACTGCATTACAACAGGTTGCAAAGCCTGCTGGTGAGGATGTGCTGCAGTCCGCTGCCGGAAATCATAGCAACATAAAGCAGCAATATACAGCTTCAGGTGTCGGAAAAGAAAGAGACTCTATTGAGAGTATTCTGAAAAGTAATCATCAAACCATTGATGCTGATAAGGATGCTTCTGTTCCGGCAGTTGAGAATTTAAGCAACTCCGAACCAGACAAAGGTTTCGGTGTAGATACCAGCACAGGGGAAACTTGTTCGTTTATGAGAAGCTCTGCTTCATTGAAAGAATGGGCTAAAACTAAGGCCTCCCTGAAAGGGTCACGCAAGAAAAAAAAATAGTGGTGGTTCGATGTAGTAGCGCCCAAGCTTCCTTGTGAAATTGTTGTTATTGTTCGATATTGTATTCCATTGATATAAATACTTGGAAGTTTAAGAACCATCTGAAAGTTTTGGTATGCATTTTTACTTATTATCAATGAAACCATAGGTCGGTTTTTGTTCGTTTCTTCAAATATTTATTAACAGAAACATTTGGATGCATACTCTGCCTGCCATTAACGTCAACAATAGTTGAACCTTTTTCAATCATGACAAATAGTTTTATCAGAATGAAAACAAGTATTTGAACTTCTACTTGGTCTCGGATGTTGGTTTTGTGCTGCTTTCTCCTCTATGCTGCTTTCGACATTGTTTGGATTCAGTAGTTTGAGAGCTATCGTGCTTTGGTGAACGAGTTGAAGAACAGTCGGTAACGGACTTGGCCGATCCGGATTTCTGTAAAAGGCTGGCAGTGTCTGGTGAAGGCAAAATATGTTTTTCATTTGGAGATGTTTTCTTATTAGCTGAAGTTGATTCAGATTTAAGACGTTCACCCATAAGCTTTTTCAAAAGCTGTCCTTGATGCTCTATTTGCAGCTGAAGCTCCCTTTGCACCTATCAAACCCCCAAAAAACAGGTAAAACGTGTTTGCTTGATGCTCGTGTTTGGGAATAGGTAGAACAAGAATAACAGACATAAATACTTAAAAAAGAAAGACTCGGAGCCAACTATAACAGTCGAATGCAACGCACCCTCAGCTGCTCATGCAACAGCTTCTGAACTTGAACTTGCATTTGCAAAGTCTCTACCACTTGAATGTTACCGCTCATATCTCTATATATGCCATGGAAAGATGATCAGTGCTTAATCTGTGCATGAATCAATGATTCGAAACAGTTCAGGTTGAATTTGTATCACCTTTCTATATTGTCATCACTTTGGATTAAAGTAGCCTTCTTTTCTTCAACTTTGGAAATTCTTTTATCTAACAAGTGTAAAATCGGTTAGTGCAGGTTACTCTAGAGTAACCGTGATCAGAACTTAAACTTTTCTTCGTAGAGAAGTTCGGTGTTTACCGTGCTTGAGCTCTGTAACATCCTTGGCGAGTCGATACTTCTGCAAGTAAAATACAAACAAAAGAGTCATATATGATCAACTCATATATATATACTCGCTTTCACGAAGATCCCATCGAATATACCTCAAATTTACCTGCAAATGGCTCTTGACATGATAGATATTCAAACCTTCAACATTCATAAGATTCAAAATATTCTTTGGTGTGGCGCCTATGATTTCATAGCAAAATTTGTTAGGTTCTAAAAACAAAAGAACACCCAGAGTTTTTCTCATGATGATCAATCGAAAGACGGTTTAATCTCACTTTCAGGGCCACCAAGTTGATCCACTGCATTTAAGAAAAGTTCATGGAGCTCAGGTATCCACCTTATTCTTTGTTTATTTGCAGCTACGACATTGGGATGTTGATTCATTGAATATGTATTACAACAATCCATATCAACGGCTGAAGAAAGAAGCTTTCTTTTACATCCCAACTGATGAATCCCTGGAACTGGAGAAACTTGTGGAGCCCCATGTGTTTCCTAATGGAGATTGGAAGTCAAAATTCGAACAAGCACATGACAATCGATGTATATGCGAGAAATCAATGCAACATCACAGTATACCTATATACTCACCTGATCAAGGCCAAGATTTTCAGGTTCGTTCTCATTGATCTCGAGCTCTTTTGACAAATATTGAAGTTGCAGCTGCTCTTTCAATGTCAAACTCTGCTTTGCATACACTGAACCTTGGGCAATACCACCAGGACTTGGTGCTGGGACATGACCAAAGGCAATGAAATCATCTATTTCCCCTGAAAGACATGAGCAGTCGAGAGCAGTCTCCGAATGAATGAGTTGACAACTAATCGGAACTTTTTGAAAATATCTTTGGTCTCCATTGCGGTTTCCGGTATCTGAACTTAATAGCATTGACGAGTTTGAACCAGTATCAAACCTATTGGTCTTATGACTTGTGTTCCAAGAAATCCAAGGAACAGCATGGGGGAGGGACATCGATGCTTGTGGTGGTGGTGGTGCAGGGGCTTCTGGTTGTTGGTATTGAGGCGGAACATAAGGAGTTGGTGAGTTTCCATATGCTGAATAAAGCCCCATTGGCTCACTGGTGGGGAACTTATCAATAGAATAGGGTCCATAATAACTAGTTTGCATTGCTACTTTTACACTTTCCTTGTGATATGCTGCAAAAAAAAAACAAAGTACAAGGACTTGAATTTGCAGAAAAGTTTGTTAATAGACTCCTAGGACTTGTAAACGGTTAAACCCGTATAAGTGTCGGACAGAAGTATCTATCCGACACATGTATGGCTAGATTTTCCGAAATTTTTCTTTATAATTGAAGTATCATATCTCCATATCTAAGTGTCAAACAAGAAAAATGAAGAATTCGACTAACATAAGTTCGTTAAATATATGAAGAGAGGAAATAATACCAATGAAGTTGAAAGCTTAATTTCAGGGAGAAAACATACAGATTCCTCAGCTTCTGCTACGGGGTTCAAGATAAGGTTACTGCATATACAGGCTTTGATGAATGTTGTGTTTAAGGGGGCAATAAAATATTAATATATATATACACACACACAACATGTACACATACATACATGCATGCATGCATGGATACATACATATAAAACAATGAAGAATGGGGTGATTGGTTGATTTGAATAAAGAAATAATAAGCTGGTGCAGCTGCACACGGCTGCTGATTTCATAGGTGTGGATAAGAAGCATAGGAAATGAAGTTCCACAGGAATTTTCACAAACAGTTTGTGGGTTGTCATGATTAGTATTATATATAATCAATTATTTAGAGTAGGCGGAGATTCTAAAGGCCAAAGGGGGTGCAGATTCAGAAGCTTTTGATTGGGATTCTCCTAACAATACATGAACAAACGGCCATTGACGATGTTTTGATAGGAAATTGGGGCAATGCCGGAGGTGACAGTGACTCATAAGACGGGAATACCGAGATTGAATAATTGAAATGTATATGGGAATGGGATGCGGCTGACAGTTTTTTCTTGGTGTTTCCGAAAATGTGATAAAACTTAGGGTAAATTATGAGTTTAGTACCTAAACTATCATTTTAGTTTGTTTTAATATCTAATTTTTCAAAACAATATCTCAAGTTTGATTTTTGTTTCATTTTAATTTTAGTACCTCGTCCAAAATGTAACATTAAGTTTTGAAAAAATGGAACTTTATGTACTAAAATAGATCAAAATTGATAGTTATGTACTAAACGCATTAAGTTTTTAACGGTGGGTATTAAAATGGAACATAAACTAAAGATATTATTTTAAAAAAAGTAAAAGTTTAAGTACTAAAACAGACCTAAACCGATAGTTTATATACTAAATGAGTAGTTTACCCTAAAATTATAATACTTTAGGTTGAAGGCACCCTAAAACATTACCTTCACGATGAATGTAACATTTTAGGTTGCACCCAAACTAAAATTATATGATTTTTATCACATTTTCAATTGCACCTAAGATTATCGTTTTTTAACCTTGAATTAGGTTGTCTCTCCTTAGACTTTACCATATATTGAATTAGGTTGTCTCTCCTTAGACTTTACCATATAAGATGGTAAAACTCAAACCATCACACTACAAAGCGTTGGGTCGGAATGAATTTTTTAGTCCATTTAAACCCGACTTGAATGAAAACTTCTCTTTATCTTTTATTCAACTATTCAATTTTAAAAAAAATTCACCTATCTCAAAACCTAATCCAATTTTTAAGATAAAAATATGTACTTAAGCTTAAATTGATTCGATATATAAAAATATATAGTTTTTGGGTAAATTAAACATTTAGTATCTAAATTATCATTTTAGTACCTAAACTTTCAATTTTTTCAAAACCATACCTAAAATTTAGTTTTTGTTTCATTTTGATACCCTCGTTCAAAATTTGAAGTTAAATTTTGAAAATAATTAATGTTTAGGTTCTAAAATGGGCTAAAACTGATAGTTTAGGTACTAAATACGTTAAATTTTTAACGACAAGGTACTAAAATGAAACAAAAGCTAAACATTAGATATAATTTTGAAAAAAATTAAAAGTTTAAGTATTAAAACGAATCAAAACTGATAGTTTAAATACTAATTGCATAATTTACCGATAATTTTTCTATTAGATAAACAGAAATCTTATTGAAGAATATACATATGGAAGAATAAAAATAAATATTATTTATAAATACATAAAGATGAACTATATCATTATTTTTAGATTAGTTCACTTAGTTTTAAAAACTGCGTCTAAACGTGCCAAAAACACACAGCAGACGTAGGCCCATAAAAAAATTCTCACATACACGAAGCTAAGGATGACAACGGGTCGGGTTAGAGTTAAATTTTTCGTTAACTTGATCCGACCTGAAAATATGCACTCTCCACTCGAACTTGAGCAGACTCAAATTTTATATCATACATCCAATCTGACCCAAAAAATTTATATCATCCACCCGATTTTTTAGAATATAAATTTGACCTAACCCGGTATAAATTAAAGATTTAATTAAATAATATTAATATTTTTCAAAAAAATACATTATTATCCTTAGATCGGATCAGAGATCTTTCACCCTCTATCCGAACTTAACTCAACTTTACCCCTTAAAATATCCGACTCGAATCCAAATTTTTTTAAAAAAATTCAACTTGATCGGATCGAAATCCATCCGATGTGAGAGTAATTATCATCCCTATGTGAAGCGAGGAATCAAAAGCCTACTTGAACATGTGCTTTTGTAGCTTTTCGAAGAGACACAAAACACATAACGTTAGAGATAAATGTCTTTAACGTTCTTTTGTACAGCGGTATGAACAAGTTATTTCCCGATGAATGTGAAAACAAAGGCAGATGAAAGATCTACCCAAGGATAAACGCGTCATCCTATGGTAAGAAGAATAACTTGAACTTATAAAATTTTAATAAAAAATATATAAAAAAAAAATCTAAAATATATGATAATATTTTATTATTAGGAGAAGACCGCTCCACCTAGATCCATCCCTGGATCTACCACAAGTCCATGGCCTTTACCACCTATCTAATTGTGTGAGAGTAAACAATTCTCTTAAAAACTCAAGTATTGGACACATCAAAACTCAACTCGAGAGAGATAAGAGACAACAGGTTTTAATTTTGATGTCGAAGATAACAAGATTCAAGCAAGTTGAGAGAATTGCCCCTTCAACCAAGCAAGTTGAAATGAAGGTGAAGAATTTCCCAACTCTTCACTGGAAATTGCTCCAAAGTGGTCAGATAGTTACAAGGTTTAACACCCGAAATTCTTCCCATCTATAAACACCACCGTATATCATGTTATTGGAAAGATCTAAAACCTTCGAATTCGATGTTCGAAAGAAATTCGGGAACTGCCTTACGCTACAATAAGAGAATAACACAATTTCCAGCGAAGGGAAGGAACAGTTCATATCATATGAGCTAATAAAAACTTCAAATTACCACATTCTGATACTTCGAAACCATAATTTCTCAAAATAACCAAACCATTTGAGTAAACATATCAGCATATATAAACCATATAGAAAATCAACCCATTTTCAGGTCTATATACATTCACAATGTTTTCTTGACCAAGTCAAGATAACTTCAAAAAATGTAAATTAAACGTTGAGAACTTAAATTATCATTTTTGATATATTTTAGTATCTAAATTTTTAATTTTTTCAAAATCAAATATCTAAAGTTTAGTTTTTATTTCATTTAGTATCCATGTTCAAAATTTAATGTTAAGTTTAAAAAAATTAAAAGTTTAGGTACTAATGCGTTAAATTTTTAAAGCTGGGGTACTAAAATGAAACAAAAACAAAATATTAGGTATGATTTTGAAAAAAATTAAAAGTTTATGTACTAAAAAATACCAAAACAACAATTTAGACACTAAATATGTAATTTACCTAAAAAATAAAATTTTTAATTATTTAGGGGATTAATGGATTTTAATTAGATTATTAACCTTTAGAAGGGCTAAATACAAAAAAATTATATTATATCAACCGATATTACCATTTCATGTATATATATATATATTGGTTTGAGATGAGATATACGTTCAAATTATTTTTGAAGAGTTGATTAACATTGAAAAACACAACAAATTGATATAAGCATACACTTAATAAAGTATGGCTAAAAAATGTTATGTATGAATCAAGATGTTTCAATTGTTAAAAGAATGATTGTTATTCTTAGAGGTTTCGGGTTCAAATATCAACGACTACAGAATATTTGGGTATTCATTATCAAACGGTTGAGAGTATTTAGAACAAAGTTATTCATCGTATACAACTTATAGTTACTTTTTGGTGGTAGTTGATAATGTTTTAGTTTATCATAATATCTTCAGTTAATTATACTGTATATTTTCATATTATGATATTTTAATTTTATCACTAAACTATAACTTTTATTTCAAATTGATCATTAAACTTTTAAACGTTTCAAATTCATTTCAAATTTTGACCTTCATTGGTCCCCAAACTTTTGAATATTCCAATAACAAACCCTAAAATCATTCAAAAGTTTGGGGGTCAATTTAGAATGAAGGTCGTAGTTTCGGATGAATTTGAAGTAATCAAATTATGGATGAAATTAGAATGTTTAAAAAATTAAGGATCATTCAAAATGAGAGTCATAATTTGAGGATGTGTAGAATAGTTAACTCTAATATCTTTTAGTTATTCATTAAAATATGTTCCAACCCATTATACTTTTCATACATTTAAATTTTAGTTTTAGAAATTTAAACCAACTTAAATCTAATTATTAATTTTTTAATTAAGTTTTTAATACGATATTTTGAATTTAAAAACTAACTTGATAATCGTAAAAAAATAGGGTAAAATATTGTGCATTTAATACATAAACTAATAGTTTTGGTTCGTTTTAGTACTTAAACTTTCAATTTTTCAAAATTATACATAGCGTTTAGTTTTCATTTCATTTTAGCATCATGTCATTAAAAACTTAACGTGTTTAGTACCTAAACTATCAGTTTTATCCCATTTTAGTACTTTAACTTCCTTTTTTTTTCAAAATGCAACGTTAAATTTTGAACGGTTACTAAAATGAAACAAAAACTAAAGTTTTTACGACGGAGTATTAAAACG